TTAATGCTGAACTTATTAATGCTGAACTTGTTAATGCTGAACTTATTAATGCTGAACTTATTAATGTTGAACTTATTAATGCTGAACTTATTATTGCTGAACTTATTAATGTTGAACTTATTAATGCTACTGTAATATATTAAAGTGAAGGAAAACTTTAAAACTAACCCTAACCTATTTCCCACATGAGATCACACATGTGGGGCAAGCGGGCAGATATTTAAGCTGCCCGGGGAGCAGGTAGGGATTACCAGTATTGCTCAAGGACACCGCAACATGTGGAGGCCTGTCACGATAAACAATAAATCAATTAATGGCATGATAAATGATAATTATCAACCTCATTTTCATCTATCGGCTTCATCGTTTCTTCGTGTCTCTCTTTCTACTGAAGACACTGGATGATAAAAAGCTCAACTCTGGTGCTCTTCACTGACCCCTACCATTCTCTTTTCTCCTTAAAATCGGTTTTAACGTCCAAAATCACGTTTTTGTATCATTAAAAGAAGCTAAGCTACAAGCTAAGCTAACAGGCTGACCTCGGGGAAAAAAATAGTCTTGTCGAAGCTCCAAAATTCGAGGTTGAAACCCGTGCCTTCGTGTAAAAAGCTGTTTTTCTCTGCAAAAAGAAGCTGAGAACTTGTTTACTGATTTTTTTTATTAAAAGCTTTGTGTGACAAATGCTATGCTAAAGAGCTCAAACCACACGGAGTGTCCTCCATTTTGAGAACCAAAAAAAAAAAAGGAAAGAGACAGCCCATGTCACGTCAAGGGGCCTCCCTCCCATTTTTCTTAAAGAGACACGCTGCTCGCTCCCTCACTATCCATCCTTTGGTTCTAACAGTCTTATACTGCCATCCAGTGGTCAAAAAATGTACTACAATCAAAACAAATTCAACATTTCTTCGTAAATTTGACAATTACTAATCATTGTCAAATTTAAACAATATTATCATTTATCGTAATAATTTCTGAGACAATTAATCGCCCAGCAAAATTTGTTATCGTGACAGGCCTACATGTGGGCATGACGGGGTGTCGGACCTGTGACTTTCTGGTCTTCGTCCTACCGCTGTGCCAGTCGCCCACAGACATCAAGCTACAATGAGCAATGTAGAAATGTGTCATAAATGTGTGCTGCGTTAATAAAAAATTAGTAGGAACATTTAAAAAGCGTATTAATTATTTACGTAAAGGAAACATTCTATCCGAGAGGTCGGACACAAACGAATGGCCGGCTGAACCTTTTATTGCTCCAGTATTGGAGCTACAGTGTCAAAGCTGTTAGGTCGTAGCACCAGTAAAACCCAGTCACTAGAGTCCAGCAGAGGAGACCCGTTGCTGTGGTGAAATTTAAACCCAGACTGGAACACTTCCATTTCAAGTTCAGTCAGGAAGGACCCGAGTTGGAACAAACAAGTTGTTCTCAACATTTCTAACAAAAAAGGAAGCCAGGACCGGCCTGGACAGAAAGGTGAAGGCCGGCCGGGTGTTTTCAGCAGGAGCCGTCTGCTGAACGTGCAGATTTTATATGCAGTTATCTTAAAATGTGCTTTATCACCCCGTTCAAAACACTGAGCGAGCTCCAACGTCTGACTTTTTATTTATCATCAGAAGAATTTCACTGGTTCTAAAATTCAGCTTTCCATAACTCTGTAAACCCAGGCGGGCTACAAGTTAAATACTTCAAAAATAACAAAAATAAAACGGGCAAATGAGACTAAATCTTGTGAATTAAAATCCATTTAATTGAAAACACAAAGTAGAGCCAAATAAAAAATAAATAATTTTAATAAACTCACCTTTGTCGAACTCATCTGGGATCTGCAGAAAGAAGAAGAGCAGAATCAGTCTGTGAGCAAACACACTAATCACCTTTATTAATTCATACGATCCGTTACAAAAGAGAAGTTTTACTTTGCTGCTTCTGATGCAACAACAGACAGAAGCTTCTCAACTCAGACCAGCGTTTATCTCTTGGAACACTTGTGACACGAACGTGTTAGTTTTCTTGAGTTGATTCATTTGAACAAGCGGAACATCAACGTCCTCCGACGCTCAAAGTTTTGAAGGGAATCCAACAAAGTTCAGTCAGGTCATCTGGACAGTTTATATTTTGTTGAGACGTTTCATCCTTCATCCAAAGGACTTCATCAGTCCGAGGAGCCACAACAAACTCAGTCTCACAAGCAGCGCACTCACAGAGTGGGCCAACCAATTTGCTGGTGAGAAGATGGTTTCTGGGTTTCTAAATCACCAGGTGCAGTGGTGGAGCCAGGGGGTGGCCAGTGGTGGCCTTGGTTACCATAGATTAATTTTCAGACGACTTACTTTTCAAGCCCAACAAAGTTCACACAGGTCATCTGGACAGTTTATATTTTGTTGAGACGTTTCGTCCTTCATCCAAAGGACTTCATCAGTCCCAAGAGCCACAAAAAATTCAGTCTCACAAACAGCACATTCATATAGTGGGCCAAACACTTTGGCTACGGCTGCCTCAGAGGAGTTGACGGGGGAGAGGGAGACCCCCAGAAACCATCGTCTCACCAGCAAACTGGTTGGCCCACTCTGTGAGTGTGTTTGTGGGACTGAATTTGTTGTGGCTCCTCGGACTGATGAAGTCCTTTGGATGAAGGACAAAATGTCTCAACAAAAAAGAAACTGTCCAGATGACCTGACTGAACATTGTTGGATTTTTTTAACCTGGATTATTGAGCTTTGATATACTTTTAAAGAATATAAAAACTAGAAAGCACAGTTTCCTCAAATGATTGGGGGGTCGTACAGGTGTAGAAAAATTCCAGTGACAAGATTTTTTTCTGCCATAAAGAGGTTCCCAAGCAGCCCAAGCCCAGCTTTGGGATCCACAGAGATCTGCGAGTTGATCTGTAACGATCAGTTCTATAAGTCCGTTTGATTGACTGGGAGGAACTGCAGAACTACAACAGCAAAATGAGGATGGCCGAGAGGTAAAACCGCTATGAATCGGATAAAGATACCAAATTCTGTGCTCTTAAATTGAAAACTAAAATATCTGATACGTCACAAAAACCGTGGATAAAAAATAAAAAAAACCTTTTGAACCGATGTGGAGAAAACATCCGAAAGCTGCTGCCAAAATTCACTCGGCAGAGAAAAATAAAGCACAGAAACTGCCGTGCGTCCACACAGAGATGAGCCAGCCGTGAACGGTTTTCCTTCAAGGTTCTCACATCGACGCCCCCAAAATCACCGGCACACGTCGCACCACCAACAAATGTCCCTCTGCGAGGACGGGAAAGAACTTCAGGACGACGAGGTGAGAAAAGTGTGCCTCCTGCTAAACCTGCTCGGAGAGATCAGAGACGAGTTGGAGGTTTCCGTCCAAAAGAATCGACGAGAGTTTACTCCGCATGGACGGGAGTTTACTCCTCATCAACAGGAGTTCACTCCACATCGACAGGAGTCTCGGATGCTTCAACGAGACCTTCAGGCCACAAATCAAATGGGTTGAACTTGAGCCGTTTTTAAATTTGAAGGTTGAGCATCAAACAGAATCTCCATCCACTTAAAATCACGTGTCTTCAACAACAGGGTGGTGGTGGTGGTGGTGGTGGTGGTGGGGGGGGGGGGTTCAGTCTGACCATTTTAAATCTTTGAACCTGCTGACCTGTGAAACAACACCCAGAGGCACCATGACAGAGCCCATCTAACAGGAAGCATTCGTAAAACATTTGGCCCGTTGGAACCAATAAAAGGGTCCTAATGGGAGAGAAGTGTGCCCTTTGAAGTGCCTGGTCTCGGACCAACACCCCCACAACAGCCGATCCCGTCTGAGAACGGCAGCAGAGACTGAGGGGGACAAGAGGCCGACAACAAATGATTTCACTCGACTCAGACAAGAATTCACGTTCATTAACTCAAACTCTGAACTTCTCGAGACAAAAAGCTCCTTTTGTTTAATTCACGCAGACCAGATCGACGAGTTCAGTCCAGAGAAGGCGTTTAATTTAAAAGCAGCAATAAAGAGAAACGAGTTCCTACAGAACTTTGTTCCATAAATAAAAAGGGTATTTTTATTTTTCCCCACTCAAAGAGTCTGAGCAGTTTCTCCCATCAGCGCTGAATTAAAGCTCATAATGACAAAACAACCAAATAATAATAAACGAGTAAACTTTCACCTTAGTCATACAAAACTCAAAGAACTGCACTTTTCTCAATTTCAAAGTCCATTTAAAGCAGGTGTAAAGGACCAAAACTGTAGGTGAGCCTTGAATACCGGACGTTACTATGAAGGTGCTGGGGCACAGGGTTCATGTGTACTGGTACACAAAAAGCTCAGTTTTCATTTATCTTGACTTTAAAATGATCGTTTGACTCTGCAGCCACGGTTTGGGTCTTTGGCAGGTCCGGACGTGCGAGGTCTCATCTACGTGTCGAGTGTGCCGCCAAGTCCCATCTGCCTTGAAACTGCAGCGTGACGATGAACAAAAGGAGGGAAGTGAAGGTGGGATAAGTGTGTCCCTTCCTCTCTCATAGCGACACCTGAATGAAGCGTCCTCTCTGCCCGTCAAACTCAGCGACGTCACAACAACCCGACAAGTGTGGCCTTTACAGCGTCGGGGAAAACCTGCCGCTAATGAACCTTTTGGGCTTCCGTCCTCAGACAGAACCATCTGCATTCAGTCCTGCTCTGAATCGGACCTGGTTCTCACGCTTTGATCCACTCCGAGTCAGCTGAGCTGCGAGGACCAGTAGAGCTTGAAACTAGAAAACACATTCAGTAGTTTTAGTATTTCACCCCGTTTCACAGCACTGATTTATCGTTTTATACACTACTCTTACTTCAACTGCTTTTTTACTCTAGTTTATTGTTCTCGTTTACCGTTATTGTTGTCTGTACTTGAATGTTGAAGTTGAATGAATTTAATTTATGAGAAGAAGCATCAGAATCCACAGAAACACTAACCAGCAGAAAAAACAGAGGTTTTCTTTAATTAGAAAGTAATCAAACACGGCCTGTAGGAAAAGCTAGCAAAGATGCAAAAGTAATCAGATTACAGGCAACGACTCGAGTACTAAGAATTTAGACGCACCTCCAGTTTCAGGGTAAAATTCACAGCAGCAGTAAAGAACCGGACCGGCGCCACCGACTCCATATTATGCACTTATTCAGGTTAGGGTCAGTGTAAATGTTATTTCTATGATCTTTATTGCTGTAGGTTTTATTTGATAGTTTATAGCTTGTTGTTTTTTCTGTTTTCTCTAACTGCTGCTGCTGCGAGCCTTTAATTTATTGCAAAGGATTAATGACGTGTACAGTGGTCCCTGGTTTATCGTGGGGGATTCATACCCTGAAGCCCCGCGATAAGTGAAAAAATGCAAACTTCTCACGTTATAATATTCTAAACAATGTTCCTAAACTCTAAATGTTCTAAAAGAATACAGTGTCATGATTTCAACTCTCTGCTCTTTGCCACTGCAAGTGTTGTTGGTGTTGATGAACAGAAGCTGGGATATATTCATCATTTAACGCGAGTTCCTCATTTTTCTGGACTGAATAAAACGTGCACTGAATTTAAGGAAATGCAAACGGGAGACGTCATTTAAATTTGACCCATCAAAATGAATGCGGTCATTTATTTACAGAATCAAATTTAACATCAAACATTTACATTAATTTGGCAAATTATGAAAATAACAACAAAGCAATCAATCAGGAAAAATCATACGGCCATGATTTCTCCGTTGCTGCACCAACAGACATTTATAACTGTACAACTATGATCTTTTACCCACATGAATGTGGGTAAGCACTTTACACAGACATTTCTAAATATCTGGGAGAATTTCTACTTGATAGAAAAGTTTAAGATGAAAGATGAAGTTTAAAGGGGAGAAAGATGGTGTTTGAGGTAGAGTGTTGAACAGAACGGCACTCTCCGGGCTTTCTTCAGCTTTTCCTCACAGTACACTTAGGTGGTGAAAACGACTCTTTTACCTGGAGATGTCTCAGGCGAGATTCCGTTTAACGCACCCTTTCAGCGTCTCCGTAGGATGCTGTTACTCGTCCGGAGTAGCGGCGAGATTCTGTCCGCCACAGCTCACCTCAGTGGAAATGTTATAATCCCATGAAACTCGGAAGAGCTTCGTTGTCATGTCAGGAACTCCAACAGCACTCCATCAGAACTCCAGAACTCTAGAAGTCTGACAACTCTCCAACTCTGAGTACCTGTGTGTCTCTCCGTGTCCCTGTGAGTCCGTGTAGACCAGGAAGTACTGACATTTTAAAGACTCTTTCCCGGTTCACTTTTTGGGATTTTTCATTGGTCAGAAACGACCAGAAGGGGTGTGTTTTTGTGACGTAAGAGGTTAGAGACAGCGAGAATTGTTATGAGACAGCTCAGAAATGTTCTCACAGACCGAGAGGGTTCTGTTTTGGCGTGCCTTAAGAAACAGGTGCAAAACATCTCTATTTACGTCTGAGAGGATTCTAAAACATGACAGTTTTAACATAACAACTTGTTTTTCGTTTGAGTCCAACCTTGGAACGCACACACTTGCTCATTCAAAAGCAGAAATCAGAAAAATGCATAAACTCTGCACAGCTTTTAACATGAGAATAAAATCATTACTCAGTTAATAAAATTGATTAGTTCACTGCAACATCTAAAATGGTTTGAACTAAGACACTTTGATTATCAACATTTGTAAGATAGTAATGATAATAAAAAGAGAGTGTTCTTTTCACTTGAATCTTCAAGAAAGAAAGTCTCAGGATGGGTGAACCTGTATTTATGGAGTCAAATACATGAAATGACAGCTTCTGTCCCACAAGGTTCTAAAGGTCAAGAGTTTTGACCTTAGACTGGGTTTCGACGTAGGCTTAGTCCACTACATTGGCCACGCCCACTTCTACGCTCTGCACGGAGATCAGCTGATCAGCTGCAGCAGGAAGTTTACCCTGCAGTGCGGGCAGGTGCTAAGTACTTGAAAATGTATTTAAAATAAAAATTCCATGTTGATCGTGCGGCTCATCCTTGAATCAACCACTTGCGTGTCACGTCCAATCTTATTTTGAAAAACCATGATTGAGCGAGTCCACGATAAACGAACCGCAAAGTCTACTGTACGTCCGTCCGTCCGTCCGTCCATCCATCCATCCATCCATATTTAAAAAAGCAGAAAGTGCTTTTGCAGTTTGAGAACAAGCAAGCAGAGAAAAAAAAAGTTAAATAAACATAAGAATGTTAACATCTTTAGAAAAAAGACCAAACAGTTGGTGTAAATCTGCTAAAACAGAGTGAAGCCTTCTGTTAAAAACGAAGCAGAGTTTTGGACAGACGACCGTTCAACAACACAGAGACGATGAAAACGTGAGTTTCAAGGTGTTTTGGATGAATGTTGAAAGTTTTTGCTTCGGCACTTTGACACAACAGATAAAAACTGGTTTTAACGACTCAGGACACTGTACTTGCTTCTCAAATTTAAAATAAGTGTCTAAAATCCCTCTGAGGTTCCTGACAGCGGAGGATCAGTCTTCGACTTCTTGTAAACAGTTAAAACTGAGGCTGCAGAGCAGAAGACACGTCCATTTTAACTATTGGAGGGTCTCATGGGGGAAAAACCATCAATTCAGCTACACATTTATTTTTGTTCTAGTTTGTTCTGTCAGTAAACGTGAGAGAAAAATCCTTCAAACTTTTTTAATAGAATAGTTTCTTCCTCTAACCTCACAGTGACTTTGCTGCCCTCTAGTGTTCATTAGGAGGAGAACCCACTCACTAAAATCCACTAGAAATGCAGTTTTCAGCTCATATTGATCACATCATAAAATAATGCACTTTTTTCAGTAGTTCCGTCTTTTTCTGCTGTAAAAATCACATAAAATATTTCTGGAGGGTCCGGTGAGCTGAATCTCCCAAAAACTCTGTACCAGAATTTTAAACAGTACAAAAAATGTGAAAGAAATCCTTGTAGGCGTACAAAGAATTAAAAAACAAAAAAATTCTGCATAAAATTCTTTTTTTTTTTTAAATACTAAAAACTGAAATGTGGCATATAAAAAGGCCCTTAAGGAGGTAAAACCATAAAAAATTCATTTAAATTTGATTTTTATTTTAGGCTGAGATGATTCAAAGATCTAGTTTATTGTGAAAAAATAATGAAATATATTATTTTAAAGCAGTTATGTAAGGAACTCTTATTGTTGTAAAGTTAAAATGACCTTCTGAGGGTTAAAGGGAAATGTAGACGTCATCGGCGTAACAGTGAAAGGAAATGTCCTACTTTATGAATAGAGCCCAAAGTTAGCATCCAGCATCCACCCAATTTCCTTCACCCGCTTCTGCTTTATGGCTCACTGGGGGAGCTGGTGTCCATCTCCAGCACCCTCTCTGGACAGGTCCAGTCCATCACAGAATTTGACCCAAAATGGATACACCAAGTACAAATAGGTGCTGAGAAAGAGGAGTATTCACTCAGATACAAAAAAATAAAATCTATTGAGATCTAAAATCGAGCCTGGCCGATACATCTGTAAGGCCATACAGATGTTTGGAAACATATCGGTATCGGTGCTAAATGTCCCATTATGTGCCAGTAGAAACCCTGGGAACCAGCTGTGTCCTTACATGCAAATGGTGTAATTGTACAATGTATCCAGCAGAGGGCGCATGGCGACTACTTTCAAGTCATGGCCGTTCACTTTAAGTTTCACTTTCAGAGCAGCTGAAGCAGCGAGCAATACTGTGCGCCATCTTTTGCTGAACAGAGCATGGTAAGTGTATTTGAACCGATGTGTAAAAATAAATCAACAATAATTAATTCTCTTTAATCCTCCGACCTGCTTGTCATCAGCTACGTGCCTCTCTTAGCAAGCTAACTTTTGGATAACCTAGCATAGGCTATTGCCTCATAAAACTTTATCCAGAACTTTAAATCTAACGTAGAAGTAAAATGTATCAGTGTTAGTGACGTTATCTTTGTCGTCCTCCATGAAATGCACCGTTTGTCTGAAATATTTGCTTCTCTGCAAAGAAAAACTAATTCCGCTGCCATCGATACTAATCAGACCTTCACCGAGAACTTCAACTCAGACAGGTAGCTAAGCTCAAGCCAGTGTTGTCCAGACCCGACCTTGAGAAACTAGTCTGCGCCTTTGTCACGACCCGACTGGACTATTGTAATGCGCTCTACGCCGGGGTCAGCCAGGCCTCCATCTCACGTCTTCAGCTCGTCCAGAATGCTGCTGCTCGGCTTTTAACCGGAAATCATAGGTCTGAACATATCACACCAGTTCTGTCCTCCCTTCACTGGCTCCCTGTTCGTACGAGGATATTGATGTGTTGATGTGACCGACTGCTTAAACAATGAACAGGGTGTTTGTTTAATTTATATTTCTGTAACACACTTGACAAGTTTATGGTGAATAGTGTAGGATGGAAAATGTGAACGCACGTTAGGACGACCGTTTCAAGACTTCAAGTGTTAAAACAGGTTTAAAAGTAGCCGTTTACTGAGATTCTTAGGGGTGGACAACGGTAAAAAATCTTCAGCCAATATATCGGTTATCAGCATTAGCCTTCCACTCCCAATATCGGTATTGATGATATGACAAAAATTTCCATATTGGTCGGTCGGGCTCTAATCTAAACCACAATAACACAGGGACTTTAAGACCAACAACATGATGAAGTCTTGAAGAAAGAAAGCTGACTGAATCAGAGGCAGCAGGAAAATCTAAAGAACGAACGGTGAAAAGACGATCATGAAACACTTCAAATGATTGAGATTATTGAGCATGCATCAAGAAACACTTCAAATGATTGAGATTATTGAGCATGCATCAAGAAACAGTTCAAAGTGTTGTGTCAGTGATACGATGTAATTTACAACCAGAACATCCCGAGGAGCTAAAAAAGCTCTGAAGAAGTGTTTTTCTGTGTGCGACAGTCATAAAACTCACCCTTTTTCCTTCTTCATCCACTGAATTTGAACCTTAAAAACAACAACACAGATTATTGTTAATTCAGGGACAAAGAAAGCCCAGACTGACAGCTGTAAGCTGAGGTTTTAATGATGAGAGCAACTTCCTACGGTGACAAACTGCAACACTGAATATTTGTAAACCAACAGCCTCAGTCCAGCTGCATCACATCTGTCGTTTATTCAAAACCAAGACTATTTTTCCAGAGTAACTTTCTTCAAAGTGAGATTAATACCAACACGGCAATGGTTAACGATTTAATGGGATGTGGAACTATTGAAATTAATGTGGAAAAATCTGAAACTACGTTATTGGTTAAAACTTCTTTAAATATTGAGCGGTTTAATTAAAACATTTGTAGGTTGTATTAAAATAAGACGGTTTGTGAACATTCATTTACTTTAAGACCAGAAATCATTTTAAATCTGCAGAATTTATTAAGATTGTCTTAAGACTTTTTTCGCTTTAATAGGAATAAAGCCACAGAGAACTGGAGAAAAGTTATTTCCTGTGAAGAAGCAGTGTGGACGCTCGCTGCCGAGAAGGTTTCATCGCTGAACCGTTAATGTGAACAGCTCGTACCGGCTGAAAGTTGAAATAAATAAATAAATAAATAAATAAAGGCAGCAAGCAGCCGAAAAACAGCAGAAATGTAGCAGAATAAGCTGAAATAGGCAAAGAGAAGGTGAATACCATTTTATTGAAATGAGCACAAAAAAGTAGCTGAACGGGTTAAAAAGCTAAAAACAGGAAAAGTTGAAATTACAAAACGGCATAAAAGGCCAAAAAAAAAAGCAGAAGCAGAAAAAAACTGAAATTTGCTGAAAATATCTTAAAGTAGCCGACTAAGCAGAAAAAATATAGAATTAGCAGAAAGAAGGTGAAGAACAAAGAAGCCGAAACAAACAGAAAGTAGCTGAACGGGTTAAAAAGCTGAACAGAAAAGTTGAAATTACAAAACAATGTGCAAAGTTACCGAACACGTAGACGACGCCGACGGCTCCGCAGAGTCCCATGACTCCAGCTAAACCCAGCGCTATCTTCTTAGCGTAGGCCATGTGCTCCTTCCATTTCTGGTCCTCCTGCTCTCCGTCCTTCTCACTCTGCTGTCCCTCTGGGGGCGGCTGGCCCTGAGAACAAAGAATAAAGGAATTATACTCAAAGAACACGGAGGAGCGCAGAGCAGTGACGCTGCGCTGAGTCCAGTCTCCAGGGTTCCCTCTGCTTTACTCGGGTCTAACAGGTGTGGCAGGTTCGTGGTCGTTCCTTCAGGTGGTCCCGCCCACCTTCAGCTCCGCTCCTGGAACCTCCTCAGCCGAAGTTCCAGGTTCCAGTTCGAAGTTGAGCCGAGAGTAGCTGAAGATCTGACATCAGCAGACTGACGGTTCAGACAGAGAGACGTCCATCATGGGAGCGTCTCCTTCACAAGAACCAAACCCGCCATGTTTAAAAACTCGCAGCGGCATGAATTTGCTTTTATTTTTTTATTATATATGAAGCATCCATTCAAATGTCAACACCGTGGTGCTCCGAGGAGGAGCAGGTGGTTCTGTGCTTGTAGGCTGGCGACAGAATTCACACAGAGCTGAACCAAACGGACTGAATTTACAGGTTTGACCAGCGGGGGAAGCTGGACTCAACCACGAATGGGGAACATTTTGTGAATTTATTTTTTGTCTACCTGCACGCCTGCACTGAGGCAACACTCTTACAGAAATCTACTGAGCAACATAAACCGAGTCCAGTCCAGTTAGAGCGGGAAAAAAAAGTCGTACAATGAGTAAATAGAAAAATGGCACACAGTGATGATGTCACAGCTCATAGCTGATTGGAGGCACACAGTGATGATGTCACAGCTGATATAAACTCTTTTTAGTCCATCTTTGAGTTTTAATTCAGGTTAAATGATCAGCTGGTGACTCCCAGTTTGAAATACATTATTTTTAAAAGATAATTGTGACCAGAAAGTCACAGGTTCAACTTCCCGCCATGCTCATGTCGTGGTGTCCTTGAGCAAGACAACAAATCCCCAACTGCTCCCCGGGTGCTTAGATAGCTGCCCACTGCTCCACCTGGGTGTATCTCAGGTGTGATGGGTTAAATGCAGAGAACCAATTTCATCACTGTATAGAAACATACAACGATGACAAAACACAGCACTTAAGTGCTTGTTCAGTGCTCTGAGAACTTCTGCTGTAGTGTGT